AATCTATAGCTTGGGAATTTGTCCCAAAATCCTGTTTTAGGCGTAGATCCAAACTATATTCTATAGTTTGAGGAACACGTGTTGCTCAATTTCTAAACCTTACATGATTATCAGGCAACAGACAAATAGTTTAAAAGCGAATAAAATAAGACAAAAATCTGCATTATAAACGGCCTTAGGTACTTTGGAAATACAAATACGAGCCCCTTGGTTAGATGATTTATGAATGAATTTATAATTCACATTTCACAGAAAGGTGGTCTCCTCAGCTCCCCCCTCACCTAGGCCGCCTCCTCTGTGGGCCACTGAGACCCCTGTCACATGAGGACAGTCTTAACCAGGGTTCACGATATCATAAAGCAGCTCGTCTCTTACTTAGTGTCTTTTCTAAGTTCTGTTTTATCCTGATACAAAATATTAACAGAGTATGTTTCTCGATGGTTCATTCAAAGCACAGAGGGGGAAATCAGACTGTTAAATGTGATTCTACTGATGGTGACTGACAATTAGGGGAGGGGGGTGAAGGAGGGATGGGGGACTATCCAAGTACTGGGAGATGCTTCAGAACATTCTCACCAGTAGAAGTCATCCTGTATCTCAGTCCCACACTGAAAAGACAATGGGCTGGTTGACCAGGAACCCCACTGTGAATGGCCCAGCACTGGCAAGTAAAAACAGTGATGGGCCTGGCGGGTGCCTTGATTTCACGTCTGAATTCCTTTTTTAGCCTGAAACATGCTATTTTAAGACAAACAGGTCCTCCTACTTTTATAGTCTCTGGGGACGAAGGCACAAACGCCTTAATGAAAGGGGCCGGTGGCAGCATTCTTAGATGTCCTTGATGAGGGTTGGCTGCATAGTCTGACTGACAAATGATACTGTGGAATCCACAGGGGCAAATGTGCCCAGAAAACAGGTCACTACTGGCAGCTGTGGAACTCTGTGGAAAAGAATAACTTGTTATCCTAACCGCATACGTTTGGAACAGTCACCCACCCTGACGAGAGAGGTCAGGCAGATCAGGGAAAATCCAGCAGAAACCTACTGCCCTTGGAAAGGCAAATGCTGGTGGTCAAAAAAATCTCCTAGTGGGTTTTAGGATGGTCAGTGTCCTCTGAAATGTCATGCAAATTTATGTGCATGCCTATGCTTGGGGGGGTGCGGGAGCAGGGGGAGGAAAACAGACCTTACTGAATGAATGTACACAGATCCAAGCCAAACCAGGAGAGGCCTCCACTGGGAAGACAGAGCCTGGCTTCTGCGCTTCCAGCCCCACTGCCCCTGGGCCTGCAGTCACTTCATGTCTGATCGGCTCCCTAATTACCACAGTGCGTTCACCGGAGGGCATCACACACAGCCGTGTCCCCACAGTGTCCTTCCTGGCTTCCGGTGACTATAGGTACTTATGGGTACTTCTGAGTGAGACGTAAGTGAAGAGATACCGTATTAACCTCCACACACGCTATATGCAGTCAGACACAGGAACTGGCCTGCACGCTTGGTGACAAAGGGAGACCTCAAATGACATAATAAAAGGCCAGGGGTAAGTGGAACAAGGGGCTTGGTTTCATTTGATTCAGTTTTAAAACTGCTTTGGGGAGAGAAACCCTCCTTAATACAATGTTTACTAGACATTTTCTAAACCAGAAAGCATATGTTACAAGAGCAACTATTTTTTTTCCTTAGAAAATACATAAATTTGGGAAATTCGTTAAGAAAAGAAGCAAATAACGCAAACCAATCTGAACTACCTAAATTTCTGTTGGAGTTCAGTCTTGCCACAAAAATTAGAAATAAATGTGTTCTTAAAAGTCACCAATACTTCAGCCCCAATTCATGGTTTCCTCTCCTTTTCCACAAAAATACCATACAATGTTAATTTTGAAATGCATGGCTAATTACATCTATTGGCAACCTTTTTAAAACCAAGAATTGAAAGCATTAGGATCTAAGGAGTCTATTCTCAGTGTGACTGTCCCTTTTTTGATTTCGTAAGTTATCGTTTTATGGGGGTGGGATTCGTGTTTTAACCTGAATTGTCTTGGAATTCCTCGGTGGAAAACGAAAGTCTGAAGACGACTGACAGCAGTGTAAGCGGAGGGCAAAGCAAACAGAGGACAGATGGGTAATGGGGACCCAGAGGACGTTGTCGCTTAAGCATGCCAATGCTAACTTTTTGTTTTATAGATCTACGAACATTTTCTCAGGGACATGGGGAGGAAGTGAGAAGACTGCTGTGAACTGGATTTCTTTCTTTAATGTCAAACAGTTGAAATACTGAGAGTTTTCCATGACCATGAAGTTAGAGCTTAGGCAGCCTCACAATTAACCCCATGAAGTGAATTAAGATATAAGCATTCTTTTTTGTAACTCTTAATTTTTTTATAAGTATGCTTTACTTACAAAATACTAGTTTCCAGTAATCAACACTATACCAATCATTTTCCCCTCCACAAATCAGAAGACGCGCGCTCATGCTGTGTAATTAAAACACTGAAAAAAAGACTTCTTTTCCGAGGGCCTGATCTCTACATAAAGAATGGTTCAAGGCTAGGTCTCTGACTTCAAAGTTTGGCAGGAAGCAGGTTAGGCAGTTCAGGAAATCCGAGGAGTGGGGTGGGGTGGGGTGGGGGTGGGGCAGAATGGAAAAGAAAAGGAAAGGAAAAGAAAACCAAGAAATTGAAAGCATAAGAGTAGACTTCTGGTCATTGGGTTCTTCTCAGGTACCTGGTTTCACAAACTCACTGGATTTCCTGCACAAAGACTTGTGCTACAGAACTTTCCTCCCCTTTAGGAAACGCACATGAATGGCCTCTAAAAATCCACATTCAACAATATAAGGATTCATTTCCTCCAAGAAAAGCTATTTCCAGTCCTGTTTCAGGACTGAACCCTGCATTCCCTTTATTACACACGGTGCAGATCGAGTGCTCTTGACATTTTCTCACTGAAAAATCTGTTCGAAATAAATACTTGGATTTGTTTAAGTTCCAATGAACCAAATGTTTTACATATTAAATTTTCACTAAAGCAAATAGAATTATATGATATGGGATTTAAATCCAACAGGTCCAAACTGAGAAGTTCATCAGGTATTTGGGAAGCCCTTGGGATGAAATTACAAAGGGCAGAGGGCACCCAGGCTTCACATGAGGCTCACAGAATCCATTTCTTTCTCTGTAGTTACACGGTTACACCTCCTGCAACACAGCGATACCATCCCACGTACCAGTAACAGTGTGCGTACGTATCTGTGTACGTTTGTTTGGAAAGTCTAGAAACAAAATCTGGGAACCATGCAGTTCACTCTCACAGCAGCATTCACATCTGCCAGTCCCAGCTACTCATCAGAGCAGAGTTAGTACCGAGGGGGAAAATCAGCTCATGTAAGACAATACTGGCCTTAGATTATTTTTTCAAAGACCTCGAAGCTCTGGCCATCTCTCACTGAAGTCTCTAAACCGAATAAAGAGCAAGGGGAAAAGTCTTCTGAAAAGTATCAGGTTAATTCTTTGATAAAAACTTGCAGCAGTTAATGGGTACAAAAAGTCTTTACTTTTGCTTTCTGAGATAGTTAGAGCTACCAAAAGCTAGGTCATAAAGCAGAACAGATTCCCTTAAGAACCTCTTAAAGTCTTACTGCTTGAAAAATCGTCATGGCTTTTAGTAAAGCTGAAGAGAAAAATTTATCTTGCTGCTGGTTTAAGGGGCTACACTTCAACTTCTTCTTAAAGAAAAATAAAAAGAGAAAGGATAGACTTCTTGGATTGCTTTGAAAAGCTTGAGCAATTACTTCAAAGGAAAGGGCGTCTTTGTCCGGAGAGCAGGTTTATGACTACTGATGCAAATCCCAACCAAAGGCTGAAAAGGATACTCAGTCCATCTTTATGGATGGCCTTAAAGGAAGATGAACAAGTCAAAGGAGATTAAAGACAGTCCAAATCCCGCCACGAACACCAGGGCACGCCAGTTTTCACTGATGTGCTTTTCTCAGTACCTAAGACTGAGTATCAGTTACTGACTTAACAGACACCATTATAACTACCAACTTGCATTTAAGCAGAGCAAGATCTCTATAATACCCACCAAGCATTTATATTGGACCTGTGTTTTAAAATATTAGGTGAAATGTTTTACACCATTAGGCAGAATAACAAATGCTGTTATTAACTGGTTCTTTGGTGCTCTCGTAACGCTAAGTGTATTTCTCCATCAAATGGACTCTGAACCACTTGAAGTTATGCCTGAAAGAAGAGAAGAAGGAAACTAATTTCTCTAGTATCCTGTTCATAAATATCCAATGAGAAAAATATTTCAAAAGATCTGTCTCTATTAAGGGAAAGGGGATTAATAATCCAGGTCAAAACAGACCTGACAAGTACTTCTGGCAAACTCAGAGTTACATTTTAAAAAAATGAATAAAGTTCTTGGTATTTTTGGCATCATCTCCTCAGTCTTAATGAAAATCAAATTACTTTTAAAAGGCACTGCAAAATTCTCATTAGCAGTTTAAATACATTGTTAACAGCAGAGAGGGCGTCGCCTTCATTCATTCACCTCTTCCATACCACCTATCATGACATGAAGTGCAGGTCAACATTCCCCTATTCAGTTTTACAGAGATAAAATTAGGTCTTCCAATTAATACTTAGGTTAGATGACGTCTGGGACAGAAGTTAACACTTTCCATTTGTTTACTCATTCATTCCTTCACTCCTTCTTTGACTTAATAACATTTACTGGGTATACATCATGTGCACTGCATTTTTGGTGCATGGCATTTGGCCTTGTATTTTTGGTGGTTAGATTTTATTTTTCTCTCCTACTTTTTTTTGGGGGGGGTCTCTTTTTTTTGTGGGGGA